AATTTTTTGGGGACCACACAAGATTGAATCTTGTCGCCCGCCCCTAAATCTAGCAATATCAATCCTATCATGAGTCGGCATTCATCACGCGTCGCGGTTGGTAACCGTACAGGACCATTGCCTTCGGGTGCAGGCAAAAGGGCGGCTTAGCCTGCACGAAGCAGCTATAGCTGCTGCTGAGCTATAGCTGCCGCTGCACCCGGGTGGTTCGTGCCGCACATGATCTTGTCTCTGGATTCGCCCGATTATCAGTGATTTTCGCCCATGTTTCTGATCCATGAAGTGCTCATACCTTGGGTGGGTTGTGCACGGCAGTGCCTTCCTCCGTTTCGCCTCAGAGATCTCTCCACGCAGCCCTAATCCCTCTCTCGTTGCAGGGAGACGCAGGACAGGTAGGCAAGATTCTACGGAAGATACCACCCCTCTGGCGGACTTTACGCTCCGAGGTCCGTCGCGGGTGCGATCCCTTTCACCTTTTCAACGCCACTATACTTTAGAGGTGTCCACGACGATTCTATAGAGGGCTGCCCTAATTTTGGATCGCAACTACAGCCGGAGCTATTGAGAAACTTCGGTTGGTCGCTATGGTGAAGGCCAGCTGCGAGGGGTTCCGTGAGTCATTGGTCGAGAACAAAAAAAAGAAAAATGGGGTGTACGGAGCCCCTTGCAACCCGGGTGTGTCGGCATATCTACTGGTGCTTCACGAGTACCCCCCCCCGCAACCGATCGCGTTCCCCCCTCGACCGGGTGTGCAGGGCCGTGAGTTGTTATTGTACTTGTGGACGAACGGTGTTGTCTACGCCCGTACCTGTCGGGGTGTCGGCAGGGGGGTTGGAGCGATTACTGCTGGTGTGCATGGCCTGGCTACGACAATGAGATCAAGTGGGCCAAGAACTTGTTCAAGCACCCTGGCTTGGCCTGGCGGCATCTTGCTTGTAGCAGCAGCTCCTCTGGTTCTCATCGTGCTCTTGCAGGGTCGCTTGGGACAAGCGTTCGTTCTACTGCAACCTCCTAGAGCACCGCCAGGAGGACACGACGTGGTGCTTAAAGATCTGCCGGGAGTAGCATCCAAGGCAGCACATGGGAGATGTCGCGGCGTCAGGATCACTGATGGACGTGGCCTAGGGCAGGGCAGTTGGGGACAGGCAGCGACGAGTGCACGAACAGGGGCCGCCGCTGGGTGCATTAGCGACCGTAGGGGTAGGCGGGAGGGGGCGTTGTCCATGTGTGGCAGCAGCGATGACAACCGGTCGGTCGAAGAGGAATGGCCCTTCCACAAAAGCAGGTACATCCGTGGGAATTACTGCTGTCGTGCGCAACCTGCAACAGCAGCAAGTGTACGTGATGCATGTTGCATGTTGCCGTTGCAGGGTCGTCCGATACAGAACTCTGTGTCCTCCCCACACACTACTAGATCGGGAGGTGGAATAGTTTTTTTTCGTTGAAAAAAATACCTGCAGTAGGCTTGTGCGTCTGTAATCATTGGCCCGTTTACTACACAGTAGTATTACAATGTATTGATTGAGGTGTGACGGGCGCCAATCAATGTGATGGACTCCGAAAAAAAAATGTCTTGGAAAAAAAGACACACTTCACGCGGACTCGAACCCAGCAAGGGCAGGGCACCCATAAATAGGGCGATTTTTTGTAAGACACGGAAGAACTTCCAACAATTATCTATGTTTCAGAGGAGTAGAGCCGGGTAGATGCCCATCTCCCACCAATCACCCGTCGAGTTTGGTAGACGTTTTGTAAGACAGAGACAGATGATTGGGCGATGGGCACGACGCTCTCGGCAGAATCACCGAAATCCTCTTTCACAGCAGCACCATACACATCACGTACAAA